AGTAGTAGTAGCAGTAGTAATACTACTAGTCGTAGTAGTAGTAGTAGTAGTAGTAGTAGTAGTAGTACTACTACTAGTGGTAGTACTAGTAGTAGTAGTAGTAGTAGTAGTAGTAGTAGTAGCAGTAGCAGTAGTAGTAGTGGTAGTGAGTGGTAGTGGTAGTGGTAGTGGTAGTGGTAGTGGTAGTAGTAGTAGTAGTAGTAGTAGGTGGTTGAAGCAAACCCAAAAGTCTGAAATAGGCAGGCGGTTCATGGATGTATCCCCAATTGGATATGTGAGGAAACCGAAATATCTGAATATGTCAAAATATCTTAAACAGACTATATAGTCTATGATCAATTTTCTCAACGATCTCAACGGCCATACGGCCACGCGGGGCCGCCATGCAACTTTGCAGCGAAGCTACGGCTACAGCTAGGCGACTACAATTTGATTGAAACACATTCACCTCAATATGTCAATATGCAATATTGAATAATCGTTTTAAATGACTGCAAAACTTGAGGAAACCCAGTAAACTGCTGAAAAGCATGCAACATTTTGAGAAATGCCCCAGGAACACCCCAAAGCCGCCAAAAGCGGCCCCCAAGTGCCGAGTAACCTGAAAAAGAAGGAGGGTAAGGGAGGCAGAAGCTCGGGCCGGGATATGGGCAAGTGGGAGCTGCGACTTCAATTTTGGTTCGAAACAGTTTGCAGTGCCAGCAGCCCTGCAGACGCTCCCTCGCGAGGTGCCTTCAACTTGCCTGACTTCCGTAGGCGCCGCTCGGACGTGAGCAGTGTGCTCTAGATGTCCGTGCCGCTCTCTCGGGGGCCTCGGCATCGGACTCTCACGATCTTTCCAAGGTGTAAAGGAGGTACTGTCCGAGTGTCCTGCATTCTATGATAAACCATTGCCGGTGAACATATATTTGATTTGAAGATCATTTATATTGCAACCTTCTTTCGTGTGTTCGCACTTCTTTTCCAGACAACAAAATGCAGAGGATAAGAAACACTTCCACCGGAGGTGGACGGGTCTTTATCTTCAAGTTTTGCAGCGCAAGTTTTCCTTGTTTTCGTTTTGGTTTTCACATGCTTTCTCCTTTGCCAGTTTGGGTTTCGCAAACATTTGCCTTGCCAAGATTTCAAGATTTTCTCGTGGTTCATGCTTGAACATCTACCTTCCTCAACAGCCTTGTCGACTCACCTCGGGATTTTTCGTCCCTCCCTCCACACGCTTTCGCCAGTTTCCTCTGGCTACTCCTTGTTTCATTCTCCAAGGCAAAATGCCTATCCTTAGTCGTTCCCCGGCATCGGACTCTCACAAGCTTCCAACGCGCAAAAAGAAGGTACTGTGCGAGTGTCCTGCATTCTTACACATAATCGTTTCCGGTGAATATATAAATAAATTTTCGATTTGAATGAAATATTGTCAACTTTTTTTTGTGCTTTCGCACTTCTTTTTCAGACCACAAAACGCAGAGGATAAAGCATATTGGAAGCTCTTCAAAGACAAAAAACTCCGTTCCATGCTCATTTTGTTGGATTGGTCGAAGGCTTCCGACTCTGCCACGTTTAAATACGGCCATCCAAGCAGCGATGGAGCACGCAGGAGTTCGAAACTACTCCGCCTTCTCCTCTCCCCTCGTGAAAACTTACGGTATAATATCATTCTTTACCTAGTTTTTTCTATCATTACTTGCGCTATGGACGGCGCACTGCTTTCGCCAGCGCAGATCCAGAAAATGAATACAGTGCACTTTAAGTTTCCCCGTCGAATCTTCATATTCAGGTCCTCTTTCTATCATCCAGTCTTAGACCCATCTTTTCCAGATTGCGCGAATGAGTATTTAGCAGGTCTCGCTCTCTCAACAACGAGTTCCCACACCTTCTCAGTTACATTCACAACAGCGTCTCCAACTTCTTGGTCTCCTGTACAAACATGTTGACACTCTCGAGTTACCAAGTTACCAGTATGGGCTCCCATGCGTATAAACTTATAAACACGTCTCCTTTCTCGGAGTAGGGCAGGCCGTCCTCGCCCACATTGGGCAGAGTCATGCCTCACAGGGGAAGCGCAGCGCATGAACTTCATGTCATTAGATGCACCACCTTTACACTCTGATATCTAGACTGCTTTCTTCTCATCTTCTCCATCTCTACAATCCAGCAGATCTATCGAGCACATGGAACCGACCCTATCATGAGAATGGACAATACTCCGACATACGGTAAGTTGCAGCTTTTTTGTTAGAGCCGCGAGAGCTGGATAGTTTTCATCCAACCCCCAGATGTCTAACTGTTGAAAGCAGTCGGTGCTGACGGGCAACAGACCACTGTGCCCTGCGTGCTCGAAAAAACCACCTTATCTTGATGTAGTTTTTGTTCGCTTGTGTTTACGATGTCCATCGACAAGCACCTAGTTTTCCTGGGGGCGAAACAACCCCACCTCAGGTGGTGTTGTTTCCCGTGCAGGGGCGGGACTGAGGAGCTTGCTGTTTTGACGCAGTCTTCGGGTGCAGGTTGCGTTTGCTAACAACAGGTTCTGGTTCGGCGAGTTTGTGTCGCGCTGGGCTGGTTGGGGAGGAACCTCCACGTTGTGCTCAAGATCACAAGTGTCTGTTTTCGTCTGTATGAAAACAAATCTTACCTTGACAGTTTGCTATTTGTAACAGAACTGAGTCTAACTTGCATCGGTTCGCACCTTGGCCTTCCATGCATTTGCTGCATGGCAGGATTCCGTGAAGGGTCAGAGAAAATACCGGCATATTTGGACACGAGTTGGGCTTAACATCGTGAAGCCCATTGATTTGTGGATTGTTCTTCTCTCAATGTCACCTGGCTCCGCAGCAGAGGAGGTTGGATTTGGCAGTAGCAGACTCTACAACGCGGGATAAGTGGTTCGTGTGCAGAGTCGGTTGCTTGCTTGCATACAACTATGTGCGAGAGGGAAGTTCATTGCAATTTTCATGTGACTGTGTGGATGCCTCGCAGGATTCAAAAGTGATATTGCGCCAGCATTCGAGGTCACCATGACGCAGATGGGCATTAATGGCTTCGGACGCATTGGGCGCCTCGTCTTCCGTGCAGCCATGGAGAATCAAAGCGTGGCTTGCCTGCAAATGATACTGGGCTTTATCCTGGACATGTTGCTTCTCGGACTGGGTGTGGAATTTTGACGAGCCTGGGCGGATGCGGCCATGCGGAGGTTACGATGGTTGCAGTCAACGATCCGTTCATGGACCTTGACTACATGAAGTACTTGCTGAAGTACGACTCCGTGCACAAGAGATTCAATGGTTCAATCTCCACGAAGAAGGAGAGATTTCTCACAACCAACATGCACACGGACGTATGTAGCAGTGCGAAACATGTTCGCTTCGTTTGCAGGAGAATGGCGAAGAGTACCTGGTTGTCAATGGACTTCCAGTGCGAATTTTCCACGAAAAAGATCCTGCTTCCATCCCTTGGGGGTCCGTTGGTGCAGATTATGTCTGCGAATCAACAGGCGTGTTCTGCGACAAGGCCCACGGCTCATGATCGTTTTTAGAAAGAATCCAAAGCATATCTTGCATGTTGCCGTCCTATATATCCCTCGTACAGGAGAAGGCATCGAAGCATCTTCAAGGTGGGTGCAAGAAGGTTATCATCTCGGCCCCTCCTAAGGACTTGCTATTCTCTTCTCCGACTGTGTCGGGGGATGTGTATGATTTTGGGCAAGGATTCAACAGATGCAGGACAGCACGCCAATGTTCGTTATGGGCGTGAACCATGAGAAGTACACGCCGGCCGGAGATTCAGAAAGAACTAGTGCTACTGACGGTTTTTGCCGAGCCGTGCCAACGAAGATGCCAGGACTTGCAGGTTGTGTCGAATGCTTCCTGCACTACGAACTGCTTGGCGCCTTTAGCCAAGGCCCAGAAGGGTGTCTGCATGTGTTAGCAATTTACGATAAATACCACTCAGACAGCCTGCCCTGTATCCAGGTCATCAATGACAACTTTGGTATTGCGGAGGCCGATATGTAGAAGTGGGTGACATGTAGGACTGCTTTCCCGAGCTTGGTGTTTGGCATGTGCTGCAGGGCCTGATGACCACCGTCCACGCCATGACAGCTACCCAGTTGACTGTTGATGGCCCGTCGCGTGGCGGAAAGGACTCCCAGGGCAGTGTGTCGCGGGGCTAGGCCACCTAGGCCTGGCCTTTCGGCCGCCTTGGCTAGGACTGGCGTGGTGGACGTTGTGCCTCGGAGAACATCATTCCATCCTCCACCGGGGCAGCCAAGGCGCGCGTGCTGGAGAATTCTCTTTTCAGGGTCACACGGCTTGCACGCAGCCCAGCCATGCCTAGGCAGTGGGCAAGGTTATCCCTGCTCTCAATGGCCGGGAACTCACACTCTGTTGGCAAATGCAGGGAACGGATGGTTAGACTGTTGCTTTTGTGTGCAAAGGGTACGGGACTCAGGTAAACTGACCGGCATGGCATTCCGGGTACCAACTCCTGATGTCTCTGTTGTGGACCTGACCTGCCGGCTGGACAAGCTTGGGACCTTGAGTGCCTGTGTTTGCAGGGGCTGGTCTCTATCCGGAGTTTTTCAGGCCAGCAAGCATGGATGACATCACTGCTGCCATCAACAAGGCTGTGGAAGGCTCGATCCTCACTGCAGAGTTCCGGAAGCATTGCGCATGAACTGTGGCTGGCCCTGCAGACTTCCAGCATGATGTCACACCCATACTTCTTCAGCAGGCCCCATGAAGGGCATTCTTGGCTTCACCGATCAGGAGGCTTCAAGTGCAGGGGTGGAGTGATATGGTTCCTGTACCTTTGAATCTGCACTGAGTTTTCGGTAGGTTGTGTCCACGGATTTCGTGACATGTCCGATGTCTTCCATTTTTGTACTGGCCTCAGACAGCGTGTGCAACGGTTTTGTCGTGCCAACGTTTAAAGAAGTTGTTGCGACAGGACAAAAGCGCGTGCATTGCGCTGAATGACAAGTTTGTGAAGCTCGTGTCCTGGTACGTGCGGGCCTTGCCATCATGAAGCCTGGGAAAAAAGCAAAGACGCGGCAGCTGATCCCACTGAGGACAACGAGTGGGGTTATTCCAATCGGCTCGTCGATCTAGCATGCCACATGGCACAGGCTCGCACAGAATTCATTTTTGTAGAAGATGCCACGAACGTGTGAGGAGTCGAAGCAGTGGGGAACGGGGGAAGTCGCAATGATCAGGAAGCTAAAGCGTGCATGTTGGTAGGTTGATGGCATCATCCCGCCACCGGCAGTGATCCAGAGCATCAAGGCCTGGTGCTGTGACTTGCGGGTGGTTTCGAAGTGTCCTTTGTGCAGGCGCGCGAGATCTTCGACTCTCGCGGGAATCCCACCGTGGAGGCAATGACAGCCCGCTGCCGCTTCATTTTGACTCGGCAGCTTCGTGCCGTCAGGTTGATCTCATGACAAACGTCATTTTCCCAGCTTGAGCAAGGTTGCAAGGTTGTGGGTCAAAGATCTGGATCAGTTGTCCTTGTAGACTCAGGATCACCTCTTCCGTGCAGCTGTTCCAAGCGGAGCCTCCACCGGCATCTACGAGGATGGGTGCTGTGCAGAGAGACAAGAACCCAGCATGATTGTGGACGCTTCTCCAGGCTCTTGAGCTTCGTGATGGTGACAAACAGCGTTTGCTGGGCAAGGGCGTGCTCAAGGCGCAGATTTTCTGATGTTTTACCCTTTTTTCAGAATCTGCGATGCTGCCTTTGGAGGCAGTGAAGAATGTCAACGAGCAGATTGCTCCGAAGCTTGTTGGCATGGATGTTACCAAGCAGAAGGAGATTGATCGGATCATGGTGTGCCCCCTACTGATTGCGGCAAGTCAAACATGACAAAGCTTTCCGTTTGTGCGTGGCTCATAAGGGGGCGGCATACTTTGTGTGTTCTGTCGTGCTGTCTTGGGAAACAGTTTCTCAAGACGACCTTGGCATTCTGAAGGCGTTGTCGGATTTAGAAGTTTGGCGACTCGCCGTGCCACGAAGTGCCAGGGTATCTCGGAAAGACGCACCGGAATACATTGTCCGATGTGCTGCTAGCCGACGATTGCTCGTGCAAAGGAGTTTGAGGTAGACGGTAGAATGCACTTGTCGATGCACAACAGCATGAGTGTGGCTATCACTTGTGACAAGGTGAATGAGTAGGCTATGGCAACATAGAGCCTATTGGCCACGGAGGCACGCGGATTCTAGCTCTCGGGGCCAGGACATGCTTGGTTTGGTGTCGTCCCTCTCGCAGACAGCCACGCGGGAAGCACTGGGCAAGATAAGAGAAGCGGATCCATGGCCCACTTGGTTGTACTCGGCGATTTCCAGTCACGACCGCGGAAACAAGTATGCTCGACGGCTTGGTCGGGAAAGGAGGATCACGACTGCAAGATGCATTCTCGTAGCTTCTCGGCGTAGCTGTAGGGCAAATAACGAATCTTAGTTTAACAGCACAGGATAGCACAGGCAGCATGGTGCTATCTTCGTGCCAGTAGTTGGATGTAGTTGGCACAGGTACGGGTTAAAGTCTTTGACAACCGAACCTGTTGGAATATGAGAGTGAAGAACAATCGAAGACAAAATCCCAACCTGTCCCAGGCGAGCTGTGCATCGAATGCAACAAGACTCAATCAATACCCTTCTCGGCCAAAGCACCCGGAAAGAGCTCTGAAACTTTAGGGTGAAACTTTAGGGTGGTGCCATACCACCTTGGCATGGGCTAGTGACCTTGCCCCAATACATCCATGCACGAGTCTTCGTTCTTAATGCTGTCGAAATGACATGTCGACTTTAGTGCTTGGCTCGAGTGTAAGTTACGTCCACAGCCCAGGTCGAGGTCCTCGATGGCACCCAGAACGACTGGGGATGGAGCAAGGAAAGCCCCTGGCTGTGTGATGTGCTCTTCGATAGACTGATAGATGCCATTTCCTACCTGCCAGTCGAACCTTGGTGCAAATGCCATCTTGGCCGTGTCCATGGCCGTTTGCCGTGCTGGTGCCGCCTCGATGGAGATGTGCCTGTGAATGCAGCTTCATTACTCAATTCTGCACTTTCGGAGTAAATTTTCGCATGAAGACGACTCAATAAATTTGTTTTTGCTTGTTTGTCCGCATCTACGAACATGCCATGCGAGACCTTTGTTCCAGGCCCCTCTACCAGTACTTGTCGTGTCTGTCCGGCAGACCTACAACCAGCTACGCAACGCCCTTAGCTTCCGGGTGTGAGTGGCTTGTTGACCGAGAATCAGGGCGATTACAGCTGGTTGGGCATGCTGAGGTCATGCCAGTTCCATCCTTCAACGTTATCAATGGTGGAAGCCATGCCGGCAACCGTCTTGCCTGCCAGGCATTCTGCAGGTGGGCATTCTGCCTTGCGTTGCAAAAATCACTTGCCTGCAGGAGTTTATGATTCTGCCAGTCGGTGCCAAGAGCTTCAGAGAAGCTCTGCAGATCGGCTGTGAGGCTTCATCCAGCGCAGTCCAACCGTCTGCATGTGCTCATTCCTGTCCAAATCAGGTGTACCATTCCCTCAAGGGTTGCATCAAAAAGAAGTACGGACAGGCACTTTGGCGAGATTGTTGTACTTTGCAGCAGTGCTGAGTGAAGAACTGCAAGGATGCCTGCAATGTTGGAGACGAGGCAGTCTTGGGCTGCTTCTCTCATGCTCGCATGTGTTGAATGCTGATATCGTGGCCATCTGCAGCCATTCAGGGTGGTTTCGCGCCTTCAGTTCAGGACAACAACGAGGCCGGACTGGGATTGACAGCCCTGCTCAGGCCTGCGAATTTGAATGTATTGAGGCGCTGGATGTTTTGATGGATGCTATTGAGAAGTCTGGCCACAAGGACAAGGTGCAGTGCTGCTTTCGATGTTTCGTTTGTAACAGCTATGCGTGGTGTTGGCAGGTCAAGATCGGAACCGACGTGGCTGCATCGGAGTTCTACAAGGACACGACAAGCGAAGCAGGGCTGCTCTTGGAGAAGTCTGTCCGAGCAAGCCATGCTTTTTTCTATGAAGAGTTTGTTCACGTTCTATGTTGCTGCTTGTGATGCTTGCAGCATGCTTGCAGCCGCCTTGCAGCACTTGCTCAGAAGGCCACGTGAGGGTTTAAAGGGAACCACAGCTGCAACTGTGCGGGAGCTTCTCACCTCAGCTGTGGAGAGAAATTTCCGGGCAAAAGCGCGATGGCTCCTATGGCACGGCCTTTCATCCTGTTGCTACAGGTGGCCATGGCTGATGCATGGGCAACATGGTGTGCTTGGGTGCCAGTTCCTCTGCAAAGATCTGTAAATGGATGCATGGACTACTTGGGGGATCCTCATGTTGATGTCGCAGGTAAGGAAGGTTGTGCAGATTGGTGTCGTTGGGTACCTGTTCTGGCGTGGCACTACCCTGAGGGTTGCAGTGGCTGTGGAGGAGGCTCAGCAGCCATGTCCGTTGACCGGAAAAGTGCCCAAACTCGCCCTTCAGCTCAAGATTCCATGGACGGCCTCCCGGAGTGGTGCCGCTGGGTGCCACAAGGTGCACTGCAGCATGTGTCCAGCTGTGACGGTTACAAAAGCGTGACGCTCCTGTTCTCGTCCGGTTGTGAGTCATACTGTGAGTGGGTGCCGAAACCAGCATGGCAGTTTCCGAAAGGGTGCCAAAGCTGCGGAATGGCAGCCCACGATGGCAGTGTCAGTGAGGCACCTTTCGAATTCATACCCTGAACGGGGAGCGTTGTACAGTGCATCGCTTTTGGCAGCTCCTGCAAGTTCTGGCCTGGTCCAGCTCCGCGTCTTTGTACAAGTGGACCTGAAAGGCTTCCTACAGCTTCCGAGCTGTGGCGGAATTAGTCTTGGGGCTCTGCGATGAAACGAAAAAGTGCCCAAGTCCACTCTGCATCCTCAACATCCCCAAACCCGAAGCACTCTGAGCCCTTTGATTTCGTCGTGCCTAGGGCCCCTGCCTTGAAAAAGGACGGAAAGTACGACTTGGACTTCAAGAATCCCGAGAGCAAGTCGGCCGATTGGAAGACCGGAAGACACTCTGCAGAAAGACTTTGGCCTATTACCGGCGCAATTGTGTTTTGCTGAATCGACTTTTTGTGTTCATGCTCGTGCTTATCCGTGCCCACTTTAGGCGAGATGGCGACATACTATCAGGACCTTGCCTACTGTTGGCAAGTCCAGTCTTCTGCGCACTTGCATCTTTTTTTGCAGGAGTGGTTCGCCAAGTATCCCTTCGTTTCCATTGAGGAAAGCGGGCAGAACAGTTGTTGAAGTGGAGGGAAACAGGCAGAGCACTAGGCTGCATTTGCCAGGATCCATTCGACCAGGATGACTGGCCTGCATATGCGGAGTTCTGCACAAAGTGTGGAAAGGCCTGCTGTTTGCCGAGTGGATTCGAGTGGTGCTGTTAAGCAGACAGCTATGGCACTTGGATTCTTCTAGCACCCGAAATGCGGCTGCGATGTGTGTAGCACGAAAACCTTGAAGAGTTGAGTTTTCGATGCAGGATGTGCAGATCGTTGGTGACGACTTGTCGCAGCCATAGTTTCCGTGATGATCAGCAGTTGTGCACTCTTGTTCGGTCAGGCAGCCTGTGTCAGATACGGGTTAATGAGATAAGGGTTAATGAGAAGTGATTGGAGGCTTTCGGCACAAGGCGTGGTGGATCTCCCACCCGAGACCAACGCCCGAAAGAGGGCGGTTACTTGGAAGTGTCAGTCGTGCCTACTCTTTCGCAGATCGCATTTCTCTGGGTATTGTCTCTTGATTGTTCCTATGCTTTGATTTTCCTCGCAGATTTACTTAAGACATTTTTCCAATCGTTTGAGCCATGTCGGAAGCCATAGAACAGCCGGGACCGGGGCAAGCCCAAGAAGCGCCTAGCTCGGCGCGACCTGTCAAGGAAGGACCGTCTATTGACCCGAGCTCGATGGCCGAGGGAAAGAAGAGAAAGCGAGGGAAGCCAAGAAAGGCGACCAGAACCCAGGAAGCCCGAAGAAGGCAAAGACGGACGATAAGCAGTTGAGTGTCTTCATGCTGCGGCTCCTCGAGCTCGGACTGAGCTGGGACGAATGGAACCCGCGCTGCGGGACACCCTCAGGATGAATGAGCAAGCCAGGGAGGACCGGGGAGACTTTCTCTCTATCCATGCGCGCTGAGGTGCCCACTGTGCGCCATCGGCATGCCGCAGGGTGAGCTGGCGGCCACGTCTAAGGTCAAAGCCCAGGGGGCCCGAGATCTTCATCGAGAGCGCCGCCACCCCGAGGTGTCCAAGAAGGATTTTGTTGGGCTGTGTCGGGCCCGTGGCTTGAGGGCGGCCCACGGTCGTGATGCAGCGGCGAACGGCGACATTGAACAGGGGCCTGGGCAAGCGCTTGAGGGACGGCGACCTTGCCCGTTTCCGGCCGTTCACGTGGCCACAGCTCTGCCAAAGGGACAAGAAGTCGAAGGTGCGGCTGTGCACTGGGTGTGTTGCGTGTTTCGTCAACTTGAGAGTGGCAAAGAAGCACAAGTGCGAGAACACGTTGGGATGGCGAGTCCGAAGTCGCCTTCGGGCTTTGGCCGTGGTTCGGCGAACCGAGAGTCAGTACGGGCACGGCATTGCGCCGGAGCTGCTGGAGGGGCTCCTCACCTTGGCTGCAGTAATGCTGGGCGGCGACCCTTTGGATCAATGATCGTCGTCGCCACATTGAACATTCAGCTGGCGGCTGCAGCCAAGATCAATTCGATTATCGGCCTCTTCGGCGAGGACGAGCGGCCGTTGGACGTGCTCTGTGTCCAGGAGCTGGGGCTGGATGTGCCTTCGGCACCGACCCTTTGTCTCTATGGCACAGGGCGCTGGTTTGCATGTTTTTCTAGGATCGGCGGAGAGCGGCAAGCACAGAGTCGCCATCATTTCGCGGATCGCGGGCAAGGCCGTCCTTTTGTGCAGTGATCAGGCGGCCGCCGCCTGTTTTCAGCTCCTTTGCAATGGGAGCCTTACCAAGGTTTTGATCTCATCCTTCTATGGGTGTGTGCATGACGAGGACGCGGTCCCACACCCCCGAGCTGGGAAGTTTACTGAAAAGGCGGCGGAAAGCCGCAAGCGAGACTTTGAGCAATCTACGACGACTCTTTCCGCAGAGGGGCTGGACCCGGGCATGAACGAGGCTATGATGAGGTATCATTCTACATCTACAAGCGTTCTCCCGAATATGAACAAGCTCCTTGAACACTGTAATATTTTCTACGGCCAGGTGCTGGCCGAGACGGCGCACCAACAGGTGACCAATGAGCCCGTAGTGGCGCCGCTTCAGTCCTTGAAAAAGTCCAGGGCCAACAAGAGGATTTTAACGCATGAGCTCCCTGCTTTTACGAGCAAGAAGGCGCTGGACTCCAATATCTGTCATTTCCTCACGGGCACGGGCCTGGACGAGGATGGCATGTCAGCTTTGCATAACCATTTGGTTGGCTCCTCCTCTGCAACGGTTCGTGCGGAGTTCCTTCGGGAACAGGATGCACAAAATTCCTGACTCATGTGCCATATGCGCAACGGAAGGTCCCGGACCAGAGCGACACGTGCCTTCGGGCCGAAGAGGATGTGCCCACTAACGATCGTATTTCGATGATACCGGTTTTGGCTCTGCTGGATATTCTGGGCGAGCTCGAGGATGAGCCGGACTTGCAGGTCCGGAGGCAAACTTGGCAGACTTGGGGGGTTGGCTTGGGGTTTGGGTGGCTTTTGACTAAGTCAGAAAGGAATTGGGCGATCCCAGAGTTTGTGGGCTGGCTTGGGGTCTGGGTGGTTTTGACTAAGTTAGAAGGG